TATTGTATATTGGCAAAATCAAATCAACCTTGATGCTAACTTAATTGTCCGTGGCAAAGTTTTTTTTTTTTTTTTTTTTACTGTTTATATATGGCAATGTTACCATTATCGGATAACAAATTTACAAGGCAAATTAAGTTTATGATTTTGTAGGATAAAATTAGAGTTAAAACAGTGTATTCAATTAGTTATTAAATTAATTGGCTTCGCGGGATTCAATGCTCTTTTGTTTGTATCGAATTATTAACTTACATGATCAATAAAAATAGTGAATTTAAAGAAAGAATAGTGACATTGCGTGATAACTGTATGTTAATTGAAATTAAATAAGCGAACAATTAACAGTTGTTACTAAAGCATTAAAGAAATGGAAACAAAAATATTTGTTAATTCAACCATTACATTAAAACTATTAGTTATTTTGATAAATTATGTGTTAAATATTGTTAAACTTTAATATTGATAATAAAACTATTTCATTTTCACACATTTCAGAGATGTATACGACGTTAACTTTTTTACAATAGCTTAAAAAAATTATTGAGCAATTTTAAGTCAAAAATTAACCGTTAATTAGATATTTCTATCACAAAAATTATATACTAAAATATATTTTTAATTCTAATAAAAAATGAATTTTTTTAATTTTAATATTTATATATATTTTTTAAAATGTGTGATTATTATTTCCAATAAATATAATTAAGGGTAGTTTAGGTAGTAAAATTTAGTTTTTATATGAAATTAATATATTTAAATAAATTTAACTAATGTATGAATTTAAATATTTTTCTTTATATATAAATTTTTAGAAAATATACATTTTTTTTTGTCTAATTTTGAATAATGTGTGAAATGCACTCTTCGAGAAGAGAAAAGAAGGCGTCAATAAACTCTAATCGACAGAGTAATGGTTTTATTCTCCAAGTAAGAGATTTTAAATTAATGAGTGGAGATAAATTGCTTGACAATTTGAGTTCTAATCATGTTTTTGATTTTGTTTTAAAAAAAATCTTAATTATACGCATTATCATATATTCATTACGCGTTTATATATCACAGTGAATTGTAAAATTATTTAACATTAATTTGTGATTGTAATACATCATACAATTTTTTATAAAAATAATTATAGTCTTTATAATCATGTTACATTTCTATTTAGCTATTAAAAAAGAGACATCATGAGAGAAAATAATTTTAATTAATTTTCAAAATAACAAAAAATAATATAAAAGAAAAAATAACTAACTATATAATTGTTTAAATCCTTTTTAGGTCCTCTCCTAATGGTAGGTATCAGACCGTTGCACTAACTTCATAAAAAAAGACACGATCATTGCAAGTCACATAGTCACATAAAGAAAAGTTGTTTAACATGATGAAAGTTCATGGTAATATCAATAATATATATATATTAAATGTAAATTTTGTAAATCCAACTGTTAGATTGGAAGTTCATATCTCTTAGATCATATATACAAAATTTTATATTAATCCAAGATGATTTAATATTTCATTTTTATAAAATAAAAAATTTGACGTAATATATTCATTTTAAAATATATTAAAATATGAACACTTTGATTACCTTCAAGTTGTTGTTCAATTTTAACAAAATTTGATATACACGTATAAAGTGATATGAACTTTCAATCTAACTGTTGAATTTACAAAATTTACATTTAATATAAAGTTATTGAGCTGTATAATTAGGAATGGCACTAGAGTCCCATGGTGGTGGATAATAGTAAATCTTCCCCCGCCCCACTGAATGAAAATTGGCCTCATACCCACCCTATATCCGCGCGGGTATCCATAAATTTATTGAATGCCCACAGATATCCATGGATATTTATAAATTTTTTAAGAAATTAAAAAAATTATATTACTTATATTTAATGTTAATTTTGTTGAAATAATAATAAAAATGCAAGATAATCAATAACTTAAAATACATCAATCTCACAAGTAAGTTAAAATCTCATAACAAAGCTACAATAATTCAATCTCATAATTCCAAACGAAAGTAAACAACTTAAAATACATAAATCTTATTGGTTCAATTAAAGTTAAAAAATTAATCAAATTACATCCAACATAATTCTATAATATGCTTAACACATGTTGGTAACTTATTCATCAACCTCACTTTTGTAAGAAAATAAGATGAGAGAGTGTAGTTTTAGAGTTATGTGATACAAAGATAATTAAGATATTTAAGAAATATTATTAAACGGGTACCCGCGGGTATGGATATCACCATATATACCCGCCCCGCCCCATTTATAAACGGGTGAAAAATTATCCGTTCCCATTATCCGCAGGTACCCAATTAGCCTATTTATTTATTGTCCGTAGCGGATTTTATCCGCAGATACCTGCAGGTGCGAGTATTTTTGTCATCCTTAAGTGTAATACTTAGTAAAAGTTATACCGGTATAATTATAACCCCCTCTATATATAAAAGTATTTATCCTTAAATTATTTTTATTTTTCACTGTAGTTGATGAAAATGTATTATATTAATATAAATTGAATTTGTATATAAAAATTAGTTAATTTAAAAAAAATTATAATTTTTTAAATGATTTAAAATAGTTAAACTAGAATGATCTAATCCAATCTCATTCGTCTATGATCAGTCTAGATTTGAAAAATAAATAAAATTTTAATTTTAATTTATTTATTTTTGTTACATTTTCTTTTTAAATTAATAAAAAATATTTTTACTTCATTTTTCTTTTACTTCTATCTTTCGTATTAAATAACTCCAACTTTTATCCAACTATTTATTATTTTTTTTTGTTTTTGCTTTTTCTCTCTATTCATTTTAAATACGATTATTAAAATAGGTTAGTTCGATCTAATTTACCTCAACTCATTTTTGAAGTGAGGTTGATTTGACTCAATTCACTAATTTGAATGTTCAAAATTTTTAAATCTGACTCAACCTATTATGGGTTGGTGGGTTAAACAAATTGATTTACCAACTCACCTAACTTTGTTTTATATAAAATTTTAATTTAAAATGATTTTTTATCTAATATAAAATTATCAAACTAAGTATCATCCATGCAATATTAAACTTAATTAAACAAATATACGATTTAAACAATTAAAACAAAAATAATAATAAATTATTGTTATTAAAGTAGTTGTCAATCAATATTAACTTTCATTTAAGACTTAGGTAGATGAATCTATAGTAATTTAATGTTGTTTAATATCAACTTTATCTTCTTCTTAAAAAAAGGTACTTAGTTAGAATAATATATATATAAAACAATAAATGGTTAAGTGAGTTGTTAATAAGTTGGATTGATGGGATTAAAAGTGAGTTAGGTTAAGTTTTTGGACCAATTTAAAGTTTTTTTATTTTTTATTTTTGACCCAATCCATTTTTAAAGTAACCTGAATTGACCTTCAGACCGAAATCTACTTTGTTAACTTTAGATATAAGTAAGGATTTATTATTGATTAAAAAATATCAAAATAGATTAAGAATAAAGTAGATTAAAGTAAAATTTGTAATTAATTGATAAGATAGAATTGGATGAAAAATGGAAACATTAATATTTAAAAATTGTAAGTTATATAGTTAAGTATTTATGTAAATTAAATTATTCAATTTTTAATTATTTATTATAATAATACTTATAGATTATATTGCAAATTTTTTATTTTAAAGATTAATAAATAAAATAATATAAATTATTATAATCGTGTATATATATATATATATATATATATATATATATATATGTTAATAGATTACGTATAATTATAATTATTATATATTAAACTACGTATATACATAATCAAAAATATTTTTTTATAATCCAAATAATTAAAAATAAAGAAAGTATAAGAGATATTTCAACCTATTATAAAATATTATATGTATATTATGTATCACTAAAAATATTGTTCCAAAAGTAGGAACTTAAGCTAGTCCATCACATTCAACCCACAACTTTAAAATAAAAATTACAGAATTAAATTTTTCTAGTATTCTTATTTATCACATAAACTGGATTCATAGATCAAGAAACAAAATTATACCTAAAATCTTTATGACTTTCATGTTCTAATTTTAATCAAAACCAAATATGATGATTGTGTTTTTTAAATAAAATTGAAAAATGAATAATGATTACACACACTTTTTTTTGTCGTTTCTTTTTAGTTTCCAAGCGAATCATCTTATGTTAGTGAGTATTTTTAATCTGTGTGAGCTCAGTCTCATCTACTTTTAAATTTATTCAAATCACTGCTACTGAGCTATTATGTTTTTCTTTCAATTACATGCAAATCCTATCTATATATGAAGAAAAATGTTACACACTCCGAAAAATGAATCGAATCAGCGTAGTCTAAATCTTAAAATATTAATATTTTAAAATAAATTTAATATAAAATAATTTTTTAATTTAATATTTTATAATTAAAACTTTTTTTTTAAAGGTTCGAAATATATTTCAGAGGATCAGAATTTTTCATCTATGAAAACTTTAGACATCCAAAATTAGAGCTATTTTAGACATCGTACGGCAAGGCTAGGCTATGAAAGCTTTGGCAGAAAGGGAAGTGGCGATAGAAAAGTAAATAAAGGAAATTAAAGGAGTGACAGGTGTCGGAAGGAGGGTTTTGCCGTATTCCGCATCATCAATTTAATTCAAATTCAAAAGTCTTTTATGACTACACGGACCTTCTATATCACCGTTGCCATAAGATGGCACCTAATAATAACACCCCATTTGGTAATCACCACCATACACGTGGCCCTTTTATGTTCGCTTGACTCACGCATGCACAAGTCAAAGGCGCACATGGACGAGATCGCGGCAATCAAAATGGCTGCACCATCATTCCCCATGTGTGTGCGGTGTAGGCTGATATTATCTCGGGGTGCGGATGAATGCTACGTGTGAAGGTGTTGATGTGTGATTTGTGGATGCATAGGATGTAATGATGTGGAAAGAATATGATTCTACTTCTAATGAATATAAGTGTCGGGTGTACAAGAGGCTTCTACTCTCCTCGCGGTGCTTTAATCTCTAGACTAGTACATATAAAAAATAAAAAAAGAGAGAGAGAGAGTGTGTGTGTGTGATGAGGGCTGAGATGAAGGATGGAACTCAAGTTGTGGTGCATGATAATGGTAACTCCGGGAAAGTCTCAATCTCCAAGTTCTCACACCTTCTTGCTTCCCAAGATCGTGATTTTCTTCTCTCTCCAACGGGCTCTCAGGTTTTCTATCTCCCTCAACACTTTTCCCTCTCTATCTCTAGTTTTTGTATGTCAGTGTTAATTATTTAGAGCACCATCGGGTAATAGCTGAAAATAAAATAAAAAACTATATAGTATGCTCCTACGGTTATACTTCTATCGTTTTGTTTCAGATGGTGGTCACTTCTGGTCAGTTTTTCGTCTTGTATTATTTTGATCTTGATACGATTTAATTCTATTTTTGTGCTCTATACATCTTCGCCAGACTTGCTCATGGGTCATGGCCCTCCAACTTTTGGATTTAGCCGCGGAAAATAACAAGAGCTTCTTCCATACATATTAAATGATAATACACCCAAGAAAATAATTTATGGGAATATATATATTATGATTGTATAAATCGTAGTTTGTTTAATTCCCCTTTGGCCTTTCCTTTATTAAATTAATCTCTTTGCTGTGGCTTTTGGTGTAGTTTGGGTTAGGACTCAGTCTTACAATTTTTTGGAATTGTGTTTTTTTTTTTTTAAACAATGTTTGGTAGGTTGCTGCCGCGGTAGCCGGTGGCGGGTGACCTTATTGTGTTCAATCGCGTTTAGTAAAGGCCAAGCAAATTAAAATGATGCAATTTTTAATTACTCTTATTATATCCGTAAAATTTCTACATATTCATGTATTTTAAATAAGATGTTATTATATTAAGGTTGTTCTTCGTGAAGACTGAAGACCCAGAACTATGTTAGTTGTTTTTCCTGAGAGATTTTAGGTGTAAAGTTTCTAGATTTATCTATTTATATCCATTGGAACTTAATTAGAAGCATTTGCAACCCCAAAATTATGAAGATTTATCTAGAAGAGCCTATCTTCCACCTTAAAAAAAAATTAAGTTCTAGGGTTTAAAAGCAGTTGAGTTTAATATTATTTAAAGGATGCAACTTTTCAATTCGAAAAAAAACCAAACTCCGGTTATGATCTCTGGTCAGCTAAAACTTGCATGGTGAATATGTCTATAACTCTACATTTATTCTCTGAGAACCAAAACCGGAAAGTAACAATCCGACCCGTCCAAATAAACGGGGTAGATGGAGAGGTAGGGTATAAATAAGCTGTGAGAGAAGCAAGTTTTGTTTTTGTTGCGCTGTCTAATGGGGCTTCACTTCTATGCTCTTTTGATAGTGGTCTATTCCTTTACTCTTTAATTTTATGAAACCATCCCCAACAAACTTCGCTTGCGATTTTTATGAATTATATCATCTTTACCAGCAATACTTTACCAAAGAAAGTGAGAGTTATATTGAAAAGAGAGAGTTGTTTTTACAAGCTATCAAAAAAACGAGACTACATAAGTATAAATTTGAAGCGAAAAAGTTTATACAACTCTTCTTTGGTTGTAAAGATAAAGATACCGTCAATGGAGCGTTGTAATTAACGATTACTTGCGTTAACAACTGTAATAGGCGATTGGTTAAGACTCAAGATACAGTTCTTCAAATTTAAGGTTGACTGTCTTTAAAGTTGGTCAACTAATAAATCGTGAACAACCTGGTATTCAGAAAATATTTTTGTTTTTTGGTTAACGAAGAATGGTACCCAGCATTCTGGGAAATGTTTTAGACAACTGCTGAATTTTCAAAACGATTTTTGCTAATTTTGAGGTGAAGAATGAAAATAAAGATGAATGGCGATGATATTCTTGTTAGCCATGGAGTTTTCTTGAGTAGTTAAATGACATAGATGCAAAGCATTCACGAGCTACACATGCCCAATTTTTGTTGTCACTTTCAGCGTTGTCGTGGAGGACCAAGCATTGCAATTGAAGGACAAGTGTCACCTAAATAGTCCCTGTAGCCTAGTCCTAGCTATTACGCTGTGCGTTATACACGTGGCCCATTATTCCCTACAGAAAAAAACAGTGGGCCATTTTGGTGACCCGTCCCTTTCATAATTTCGGATAGCACTGGATTCTCTTCTGTTCTTATGTACCCATGCTTTTGTATCATGTACTCCATTGTCGGTGTTATTCAAGTTCTTCAATTTTTTTTAAAAGTATGGCCGGATTCTGATTAAGAGAAAGTATCTTAGATAAAATTAAATTTGAATTTTATTGGATAGATTAAGGCATAATTGAAATTTCTTAGTAGCGTTCACCTTAACAACGTTGATGAATGCTTTGTTAACCTTCCCCTTGTACCAGAATCTCGAACATTGATGTTCATGTATCATTCCCCCTAGGCCCCTTTCTTTTATGTGCAATTTTGTAAATTAACTTTTGAGACACATGGTCATCGCTGGAAGCCTGGAACGCAGCTGTACGGAATTTGGCATGGTTTTAACTCTGTATGCCAGCGACACGTAAGAGCACGTATCCACGTGATGTCCTTTCATCTATTTCTAGAATTTTCGTCGAGGCTTATCGTAGGTGTTAGACTCAAGTTCTTTAATAGTATACTTGCTAGAAAAAGCTAAATGCTTAATAGTTTATATACTAATCTATTTGAATGAATATATAATTTTATGTTACTATAACGGTAAATTTTGATTATAAATAAATCGCCAATTTCGTTATGGGATTATTATCCTTTCTTCAAAAATGTTTTTAAAGTAATAAGATTGGTTAAGTAATTCTTGAATTACGAAAAATCCATCAATTTAGTTTCAAAATAGATGTTTTCAGTAAATTTTAAGGATTAAATTGAAGGATGTTTTATTATTTATGAGATTAGTTAACATAATTTTAATACTTCTAGGATTATTTAGAAGAAATAGTAATATGTTATATGTCACAGACTAAGAAGATGGTTTATTCTTTTTGTTATGATCTATTATATTGACAAACAAAAATATTTTGTTGTTTAGAATTTCCTAGACTTGTGAAGCTTATATATTAGTTTATATTAATTTATTTAAAATATTAAATTATTTTTTAAGTAATTTTTTTTAGGGAAACTCTAATTAATGGCGGTGTTACAGTGGATAATGAAAATTTAGGTTTAATTTTCATTGTGTTGTTGTAATTTACTTTACTGATTAAAAAATAAACAAGGTAAATCTTTACCCTAGCTGTCCACAAGAGCTGGTTTCGATGGCTGAATGTATCAAATTAAGAAATTTAACGAATATATGATGCACAACATCGTTTAGTATAAATTCATATCATTATGCAGTAGTTATACCGATTTATATTACTTAGTTTATACTATTAATAAAAGAATACCTCTTTTTGGTGTGAGCAAATTCTGAACTAATGTACCTATAACTATTTCAAACCTCTTTCTCTTTAAATAACAATTAATTATTTTTATATTTTTATAATTTTAATTTTAAATAGAGGGGCATGAAGTGCCTTTTTATTCCTAATATATTTATCATGAGTAAAAAGAAATGTTGTTAATAGTAGTGAATAATTAAAATGATATATATATTTTTTAGTATTTATTCGGGATATATTTTTGTTCTACTTTATTTGTTTGAAGATTGTGATGAAATGTGTATTTTATTAAAGATTATATATTAATTCTATGTTATATTTGTGTGTTTTAGTCACGTCATGTTTTATTGTTTTAAAAATATGTCATTCATGCCATTTGGTATTTTGTGTTTTATTGTTGTTATTGCTCATATGCATATTAAGATCAAATGGATATATTTGTCTACATATAAATGTAATATTATCTAGAGATTCCTGAAATTATCAGAATGAATTAATTTCAATTACAATTGTAATCTTAGAGGTTCAAGGTCGATGTACCTTGTTTGATTACTCAATTGTTGACTGATTTTGTTATCAAAGATTAATCAACTAATGCATCTCTCTAGTTACAATAATTTAAGTAAAATGTTAGATAAGGGGAATTGTACCCTCCTATGCCTATGGGATTCCTACCTCCTATACTCGGGACCAACCTCCTCCTTAGGATTATGGCCGATCTAACTTTTAGGCTCACGGTCAATTAACTTAAGGTTAATCATCTTAATAATTAACAATCCACAATAAATTTACATCTTTTCGAGTTTATATATGGACATGACCCATGAGATTATAATATAATATATTTATTGGATATTTATGGGTCAAAGACTCACAAATCATATTTATGTATTCAATGTTGATTGAACTCGACATTAGAGGGTAATCGATTGATCTATCATGATAGGTATAATGACTTAATTAATGCATAGAATGAAAGATATAAACCATTACGTGAAAGGATGTGCTCCTAAGATATGTGGAATCTAGAGATGATGACATAACAAAAAAGCATTGAGATCAAGGTCAGGAAGGAGGTCAAAAAATCAAGGCCATGAAATCCCACTGCTAGGTTAAGAAGAGAGATGTCTTGAGGGGAGACATGTCTTCTTTCTAGAAATAAAACACAACTAAAGAGAATAAGAAAAGGAGAACATTTAAGTGTTCCGTTGATGAGATCAACTTTGTGGTCAAAACAATAACATTAAAATTAATTTGAGTCTTTTAGTTCATAATTTTCAATTTATTGTTCAAATCCTGCTGCTTTGTAATTTTTATGTATAGGAAAAAAAATTCATCATTTTCAATGAATTTAATTTTTATTGCAAAAGGGTAGTTTAATCCTTGACTTCAATGTGTGCGTATCAATTTAATCCGTTCTTAACTTTTTGGGCCGAATTGACTAATGACTGTGGTAAGTATTGGAGGCTTTTTTTTTTTTTTTTTCAATAATCAATTACGGAGGTAGTTGATAACTTGATATTGGGTTAAGTTGTTATAAATGGTGGATGCAGGTAAAAGTTAGCGATCTTGAAGGGAAAGTAGTGGGTCTCTTATTCGCTGCCAATTGGTACCCACCATGCCGTGGATTCACCCAAGTCTTAGTTGGAATCTACGAGGAGCTGAAAAGCAGTGTCCCTCAATTCGAGATAGTGTATGTGTCCTCTGATGAGGACTTGGATGCCTTTAACAGCTTCTATGGAAACATGCCGTGGCTTGCAATTCCGTTCTCTGATTTGGAAACAAAGAAAGCTTTGAGCAGAAAGTATGACGTGGAAGGCATTCCATGCTTGATTTTGTTGCAACCTGACTATGGTAAAGAGAACGATGCAACAGTTCGTGATGGGGTTGAACTTATTTACCGCTATGGTGTCCAAGCTTATCCATTCAGTATCGAGAGGTTGTTGCAGCTGCAACATGAAGACAAAGTGAAGCTTGATAACCAGACCCTCGTTAATTTACTAGGAAACCAACACAGAAACTATGTTTTGACTCACACTCACACGGGACTCAAACAGGTAAATCGCTCCAATACTTTTGATTTGCATGCATGCTACTGTTTTCCACGTTTTGTTAATTAATATTATCTAATTATGTTATAATTAGAATACACATGTATAAGTTCTCACTATTACATGCTCTCAAGTCGCAACTCAATATTCTCTATCTCTTTTCTTGGCATTTCAAACATCAAATAATTTACAAATTTTTAAAAATATATAAATTAAGAACTTTTAATTTAATAGTTAGATCTTGAAATTTGATATAGAAAGTTATTGAATAAAGTAAGTGTATCAAAACTTATTTTATAATAAGTGGATCACTTCTCACACACACACATATATATATATATATATATATATATATATATATATATATATATCAATTAAAGTTTAAAATTGTTTATTGAAAAATTTAAAAATATATTTATTTATATTATTCTTCTAATTATACATATATAGAAGTATTTATTTATTATAAATATTTATTCTATATAATACTTATATTAATTTATTAATATTAAAATACTAGTTAAAATAATTGTTATGTCACAATTTTTTTTTAACTTAATAAGGTTGCAATTATCTATCAACGTTTAAATCAATGATACAAAATATCAGTTAGTCATGGATCCAAATACTATTAAACATTTTTAGTAAGGTTTTGAAATTCGAATCCAGTGAATGAAAAAAATATAATTAAGAGTGATCTCATTAAAATGGCCAGCTAGATTACTTGATAGAGATTAATCGTAAACATTAATTAAGTTGGTTGATATTTTGTACGATGATTATAAAAAAGAAAATTAATGTTACAAAATAAGAGTTGTAGTTCTTATTTTTGTGTCTAGCTTTTCTCTAATTCTTATATATTGTAAATATGGAATAAGCATCACTTAAAGTCAATCATGCTCCAGTACCAGAGACTACATGACTGGGAATTTAATTCAAATTTCAAAATGCCTTTTTCTTTTTTAATCATCAACATCGAGTAAAGACTTATAACATTTTTTTTTTATATAATTTTTATTGTATCAGTCGTTGTATTTAACAGTTATCTTGTAGTTTATCTGGTAGTTAATTATAGAAAAAAGATGTAGAATTACTAGAATCATATCCATGCATATGAATAGAATTTGTGGTGCATGCAGGCAGTTTCATTTGAACTGCATGCCGAGAAATCCTGTTCCGCATTACGGGTGTTGCTCCTCGTGTACACATGCAGGTACCCGTGAGTTCCCTTGTGGGCAAAACCATTGGACTCTACTTCTCAGCGGAATGGTGCGTGCCATGCGCCAAGTTCACTCCCAAACTCATCTCCGTGTACGAGAAGATAAAGCACGAGCTAGCCGAAAAGGGAGAGGAAGACTTCGAGGTTGTGCTAATCTCCAGCGACCGTGACCAAGCATCCTTCGACTCCTACTATAGCACCATGCCCTGGCTAGCCTTACCCTTCGGTGACCCTGAGATCAAGAACCTGGTTAGGCACTTCAACGTGCAGGGGATTCCCTGGTTGGTCATCATAGGCCCTGATGGTAAAACAATAACCATTCACGGTAGGAGCTTGATAAACTTGTACCAAGAGAACGCGTACCCTTTCACCAGCGCCAAAGTGGAGGAGCTGGAGAAAAAGCTCGAGGAAGAGGCTAAGGGTCTTCCAACGTTGGTGTTTCACGAAGGGCACCGCCACAACCTTAATTTGGTGTCTGATGGGAACGGTGGGGGCCCATTTATTTGCTGCGTGTGTGATGAACAAGGCTCTAGCTGGGCCTATCAGTGTCTCCAATGTGGCTATGAAGTGCACCCCAAGTGCGTAAGAGCTGTGGAACGTGACACTAATAGTAATAATAATAATAATGTGTTGGTGGACACCACTACTGGTTGTGCATAATATATATAGGAAGTGATTAATAACTTTCTGTAGCAATTAATTGAATGTCCTGTGTTAGAGGCCAAGAGGGCGAAAACTTTACCGAATCTGCTACACCACGGAAGGGACTGGAATGCCCTTCAGAATTAATTAGATTATTACATATCTTTGTGGGTGATTTTCTATTTGAAAGAAAAAGACAGTCATGAAAGGGAAAGGTGACATACTCCGATATATGATGATTGATGAGTGCAAGTTTGATAAACATAGTCAAGAACGTGATTTGAATTTCGATTTGGAAATTGATTTTCTGTCGGAAAAATAGTGGTTTTAAATAATTTAGACATTCATGATTCATGAACTTGAAGCATCAATTATTATTGTTCTCCTTCTCCGTAACGTACAAAAAGAAGTGTTGTTAGCTAGCTAGTGTTTGGAACCTGCCCAGATCGGACGAAAATC